AACATTTAAATGCCATGAAAATGTATCATACATACTGATTGTATAATACACCTATATACTTTAAAAGAGTATACTGAATCTTTTTTTAACTGACCCCCTAGGTTTAGAAACAGAATATCATCAGTACATTCAGTTTTATGCACCCTCCACAGTTATATTTCTCTTATGCCTCCACCCCTAATCACTTTTGTGTTAACTTTGTGACTTTAAAAAGGGTATTTATAAGAATCACATGTGTACGTATTTTACTTGGAGGAGTTCTGATTCAGTGTCACTTGTGAGATTTCATATTTCATTCAGGCCCCCCCTCCCCCATTAGGGGTCAGTCAGTTTCTCAGAAGGGTCAGATATTAAATATTTTAAATATTTTACGTTTTATGGGCCGTGTCTCAACACTGCTGGTAGTGTGAAAACTGCAGTGGATAGTATGCAGAGCAATGAATGTGACTATGTCTTAAACTTACAGAGGCTGTTGGCTGGGTTTGGTTTTGGCAGTAATCACCTGACTGCTATACAGCATTTTGTTATATTAATGTACCATAATTTACCCATTTTACTGTCTATGCTCATTGATTTTTTTTTTTTAGTGAGTGTGTATATAGAAAATGTGTATTTCACTGTAAATACACTATAAATTGACATAATAAGCATAGATTTGATATCATTCTCATCATCAGACTTTATGTCTGATGGGTCAAGGAAAGTTTTTATAAATCTCAAGGAACTTCTCAAGGTTCTAAAGATTATATAAGATTTTATAAGATCTTTACTTATGCACTGTGTATATTGTCATTTGTCACTTTCTGTCACTTGAAATACAAGCTTCTTCGTTAAACACTGTCATCTGATGTTTCATAGATCTTTTGTACTTTCTTAGAGAAGAGTAGCCTGCTTTGACTTTATGTGGCAGGATGCAACTTGTTGGCCTGTCAAGTGCCCAGTTTTCTATGGATATTGGCCAAGTTGTTAATACCCCTGGACCCCAAGATGGCATTAGTCAGAAGAACGTGCTTGTAGCCAGAGTCTAAAATACTTAAAATTCCCTTTACCATTGAAGAAGGTATTTGTAAGATCACAAAAGGTACAAGTGCTCAAATGACTGAGAACTTTTGATTGTACAAATACTGGCCAAAAAGTCAGGCCTTACTAATTTTAAATTGTTCAGAACTTTTCACCAAACCTTTGTTACTAATGAAAAAATTTGTTGTTATTCTGAGCCCTCTTAGTTTGTAGGTTAGTAATCTTAAATTTTTATTCTCTTCATCTTTGTGTTGTAAGTTGGGATTTGTCCTACAGTACATTGTAATTTATCCTGCTGGAGACTTGGTGTGCTCCTTCATTCTGAAGACTAGTTTTTTCTTCTTCACCCTGGAAACTTCTGTTGTTAGTTCTTGATTATTGTCTCCTCCCATGTTTCTCTTCAGTTCTTTCAAAAACTACTTTTGCTTGAAGAGAGCGTCTCATTCTGCCTTTGCCTCTTAACAGTTTCCGCTTTGCTAATTCTTTTAGCTTTCCCTTTGAGCATTTCTTTCATCTAATATTGTTCGGTTTTCTTTTGGATTTGTTTCTAGTTTGGATTTTTGCTATTCTTGTTTGCTTATGGTTTATTGGTTAAAGTTCCTATCAGTTTGTTCTTTATCTTTTTTTCCTTGGTGTGGGGAATTCTCCCTCAATTTGGAGAACAAGTGAGGCTCTGGAGATTGTCTTTCACAAGGTTGAATTAACTCCTGTGTCTTGGGTTTTATACCTTTTCTGTAAATGTGCCTTTTAAAGAGTTTTGGAGGTTTGTGGAGGCCTTCCCATGGGATAGTTGAACACTTGGATTTTCCTGGCTTCCCACTGCATGTAGGGAGCCCAGTTCAAGCTCTCTGCCTGTTATAATTGGGGTCTGAACCCTCAGCTTCCAACACTATTGACTATCCCCCAAATTGTACATCGTTGTGTACCCTATTGGGTATCTCTAAATTCTTTCACTGTTTCTGGCATATAGAAGTTTCACCCATTTATGATTTTACATCCACTTCAATTTACAAAAGTAGAAAATGAATGCAGTCTTGTGCTACATAATGAGGTTTCTCTCACTGAGACCTGTGTATGCAGTAGTGGTCCCCTAAGATGTGGAGCTGAAAAATCCCTATCACCTAGTGACACTGTAGCCATTGCAAGCAACATTGTAATGCAGCACATACTTTTCATTTGTGGTGATACTGGTATAAGCAAACCTACTGCACTGCCATGGTTTAAAAGTATAGTACGTACAGTTATGTACAGTATAATACGTCATAATAGATAGCTATGTTACTGGTTTGTTTAGAGAACATTCCTATTAAAAAAAAAAAACTAAAACAGTATGCTGGCAGCAGCCTCATTTTTCTTGTGTTTTTTCATCCATCTCTGGACTGCATTCAACATTGGAGCATTACAGGAGTAACTTGTAAATATCTAAGGGCAGGTATTATAAATTCAGTTGGAACCAAAGTAGCTTCCTCTGTTCTTCTTCCCTAGATGGTATGATCTTTACCTCTATGCCTGTACCTCAGTATTAGCTATGTCTACAGTCTGGCTTAGTCTTTTCTCCCTGCATGTAGCTTTGCTAGCCTGACTGCATCAGTTAATGGACTGTTTATCTAGAGTGGATTCCTTATCTGCCTTAGTTGTCATTGCCATATGTGAAGTCAGGAAAGTTAGTCATGTGGTGAAGGGCCCGGTCCACCTAGACCTAGAGGGTAGTAAGCTTCTCTTAAAAGATTGGGGACTGGGAGGTTGTGCACTTTGGAACAGAAACTGCAACAGACTTAAGTTCAGAGCCTTTAGCAGTCTGTAGACTCGTCCCTTCAAGTAGATGTTGCTCCATTTAATTGACACTCTTCTAGAATGTGGTTAGACTAACTATAAGTTCATGTCTCTACCATAAAACTTTTTTGTTCTTGCTCTGTAAAGATATGAAGAGAATGATGATGTTTGTTGACATTTTGGATTTACCATTTCTGGCCTTCCATGATGTATTGTTGGCAGTAATGGTCCCCTCACTGGCTGCTTTGTGAAATCTATTTTGGTTCCTGATGAGCATCCAACCCCCCCCATAAATCTGCTCCCTCCTAAGAAATTAAACAAATTCAGAATCTAGGTCATAGACTTAAAGTTTTGTGTATTTCTTTTCTTTTTTTTCTTCTTCTTCTTTTTTTTTTTTTTTTAACCAGTGGGGCATTCTTATTCTTCGGATGTCTTTTACATTGTATAGCAGTTGAATAGTGTCCAATGTTAGATACTGGGGCTTCAAGAATGTCTTGTTAAACCCAGGAAAGTGCAGATTGCTAAGCTTCCTGGAACCCACAAAATAGGTGAGAACAGCTAATTCTTCATTGAATTTATACTTACTTAGTTCTGATTAAACCCAGTTCTTATTTATGATGATTTGTGGTGTTTTATCAAGAAATGCTAATCTCTTAAAAGACCATTTCAATTTTGGGGAATGTGAAAGGGATACTTTTCCTGTGTTGGCTCACTGACTGACTTCTTTCTTGATAGGGACAAGCTGTGGGGGGCCTGTGTCTCCATCCTGGCTCTCCTGCCTCGAGTTCTCAGGTTGATGCTGCAGAGCCTGCGTGTGAACAGAGTTGGGCCTGAGGAGCTGCCTGTTGTGGGCCAGCTACTTCGTCTGCTGCTTCAACATGCACCCCTCAGGACTCACATGTTGACCAATGCCATCTTGGTACAGCAGATCATCAAAAATATCACGGTAAGAAGCATAACAAGAGGAGGTTCATGGGACAGGTAAGGGTGGGGTTCCTGCACCTGGATTGGCTTCTATAGTTAAGCCCAGTGTGGTGATTGCTTAGGGCTTCCCTGCTGTACAGCACCTGACTAGGACTTAACTAGTACTTTAAGCCTTAAAGTACACACACTTAATGAAGGTGGCACCAGGAAGTTTCCAAAAAGGTAGGGTCATCAGAGTCATTCTTACTTGGACTCTGTTATTTAACTGGGATCATTTGGCAATTTTTTCCCCTCTTACCTGAACAGGCTTGTTTTCTTGTCTGTCAAAAATGGAAGTAATGTCATTTTTTGTGTGCCTTTGGGTTTTGGTGACCATAAATGAGATTATCCAAGTACCGTATTTAGTTTACCTGACATTTTTTTGCTCACTAAATGTTAGCTGACATTAAGGAAATTCTTTAGTAGCAACTTAAGGCTGATTTCTAGTCACTTAGTTCATTGGATAGGAGGAGATAGTAATCAGCTCTGCCTCCTTGGTGGCTCTTGCCTTTAGCTACATCTGTTTTGGGAGGTAGTTTTATCATCTAGGGTTCCTTTTGTGTTTTTGTTTAAGAGGGTTAAAAGGTGTTTTGCAGAGGTGTTTGGGGTTTATTCATTGGGACATACAATCTGTTATGTTTTGGAGTAGTGTTTATAAGAGTAATGAAAATAGCAATGGCATAATTCAGAACCGTAGAAGGAAAGAAAAGTCAAGAATTTGAATTATTCCCATATGGGAGAATCAGCCTACCTCTTGATAGACAAAAATTGTCAGAATTATTCTCAGTTGTTGTTAATGCAAGATAATGAGACACTAGATGACAAAGGGAGGGAATCACGGGTATAGGAGTGGTTTATGGTGAAATTTCATTAGTTCTTAGCATATACAGTAGGAAATAGGCTAATAAACCAGTAATACCTGAGGACATAACTGACTAGGAATTTTCAAGGTCTGTGTTAATGCCCAATTAGTAGTTCCTTTTTTTTTTTTTTTTTTTAATAGGTGGGGGGATACTGTTGGCTAGGCTTTGAGAAATCATGTTTTGGTGTGAAAAGCACTGAAAGGTGACTATTAATATAATTCTCAAATTACTCTTGTTTTTCTCTGCAGACACTGAAGAGTGGAAGTGTTCAGGAGCAATGGCTCACAGACCTACATTATTGCTTCAGTGTGTATATCACTGGGCATCCCCAAGGGCCCAACGCGTTAAGTACAGTGTATTGAAGAGGCGTTGTGGTACCTGTTGTTTGAAATTGTTTATTCACATCTATCGTATTTTGAAGAGAAACTGATGTAATAAATGTTTGTCATTAAAGCTAAACTTTTAAAGAAGTTTTTGAACCTTCTTTTGCAAAGCAATGTTTGTGAGTTCCCATTGAAGCTCAGGCTGGCTTCCTGGATTAGTACATATACATGAGATATGCCTGGTTACAGGTAGAAATAACATTTTGCACTTCAGAGGAATTGAATATTTACAGAATGGAAGTATAGTACCTTCTATTATTTATCAACATACTAGCAAAAGTGTTGTGATCCCAATGAGGTCAATCTCATTCTTAATTTTGAAAATAATAATTATTAAATTAAAAATTGAGGTAATTAAATTAGGTAAACATATTGCTTTTTATCTCGTACCGTTAGCACGGGGATGATACTGATCTTAACAAAAGTGACTAAAAAAAGCCATGAACTCTTAAGTTTGTGCTTCATCTCTGCATCCCCACAGCAGTCTTTACCCTAAAATGTAAAAGAGCCCACAGTCACCAGATTTCATTTATATCAGGTGTTCTTCGAGCTAGAATGTGTGTAGTTTTCCCTGCCAGCAATAGAAGGCATTTTGAGAAGCTTGTTCACCTTGTAAGTTAGTCAGAAAGTACAAGTGGGATGTCGAGTCCTGAGCTGGCACCTTGTTACATGAGATCTGGCTTATAAACCCTACCTGACTGACTCTTTGATCCTGACAGGCTGGTGGTGCTAGGCATTCAGAGAGGACATGGCCCCAACCTGTGGCCTTCAGAAACTAACATGGGAACTAGAAAATGTAAGGAGTCAACAGAATGTACTTAGTTCTATGAAGTTTCTAAATGCAAACACTGGGACATAATTCTGATATAAAATTTAGGACTGATAATGTTGGAGTAATAGGAGGTGGTATCTATCAGAAAGTTTGTTTTAGTAGATTCCAGGCAAGTAGTAAGATGAAGATGGCTGCTGGGGGTGTAGAGAGGGAGGGAGGTTCCCCGTCTCATTTAGGTTTATCACTTGAACCAGGAAACGAGGCCTGTAGTAGCTAGCTGTTAGAAATCCCAGCCCGGCAGCCCCTGCAGTGCTCACCACCCTAGTTTTTACTTACGTTACTGATAATTATCAGTTCTCATTTCTAGCTGTACTGTGATGAAGGCACACAGCTGGGCAGTATGCATGGACATAGTCCTAGTCCTCTCAGTGTAGGCTGAGATGATTTACAAATTAGCACTTGTAAGAGCAGAGGAAACGCTGGATATTTTCTTTCAGTTATGACATTTTCAAGGTAATAAGGCTTTAGGCATGGATATTAAAGTTTTCCCAAAATGTAAGACGGTCCATCAACAGAGAATCAGAATTGCATAGCTATTCACCTTTCTCCACAGGCCATCAAAGCTTTGGTTTGTTTTTTGATTTTGCAGCTGATTGCAGGTTATAAGAAAAGTTCTTAGATCTTCCACTGTTCTCAAGGAGATGTATGCATTGCAAATTGCTCACTGTTAAAAACAAATACCAGATAAATAGTCAAGTTAATTTTAGTGCTGAAGGGAAGACTTCCTTGATGCTAAGGGAAAAGAATTTAAGTTTGTGCTATCCCTGGAGCCAAATAAGTTGATGGGCCAGTGTACTTCAGAGGCAGGGTGATCACTGGCCTTGCATTTCTCCTCCTCTCAAAAATATGGAACATTTCTTGAAGGAAGCACCTGCATTGGGAGGGAACAGGTGTCTTAAGGAGCTAGAACTGGAACTTTTGGTCTTAAATCTACCTGGAATAATTAGTGTTCTCTCGTTGTGTCTCATGACAGTGCATCCTTACTCATATTCATGTACCATCTTTTAGTTCCCTTTCCTTTTTGTTTCATAAGATTTGAAACCTATTCATATTCCTGAAGGTTGATAGACTAATAGGCATATCAAACTCAAAATGGATTTTAAGAGGACTTTTTATGACTTTGAAATAACAAATTTGTAGGCTGCCACAGTCAGAAAACATGATAACTGACAAATGAGGATACTGAGAACTCATGGTTGGGAGACCTTGCTGCAGCCATATTGCTATATTTTGCTCTTAACCCTGGAAAAAATAAAAGCAAATATGAGGGGTAAGTTCTAAAAAATATAGAACATGTCTTTATTTTTCTCTCCTGGTTTTACAATTGCAACAAAATTATTTTTAAATGAATTAACTGCTTTTGGAACTCCTGTATTTTTGGCTACCCTCAATATAACTGAAATTATCACCTGCATACCCCTGTACAAGATGGCAGAATATACTGGATTCAAGCAGGAGTTCCATTAGCAATGCTCATGTAAGCTACGCTATTCCATTCACTGGTGTGGAATGTTACAGGAAGCTCTTTTCATTTTTAAAGAAGTGATCCCTGCTATGTATGTGTCAGTAATAGGCTATGTTGATAGTCTTTGTGGGTGGTTTGCAACAGCACTGTGAAAGACGGGAGAAAGCAGGGAGTTTATCTGTCTCCTAAATGGATGTAGGGCAATAGCCTGCAGAGACTGCATTTTGATATATTTTTCTGTTTCTTCCTTTTTGAAGTGGTAGAAGAATTATAAAACTTCAGCATGGCATCTCCCCAAGCCAGAGGGCAGGAACAACATATTCAGTCATCAAATAGTTAACCATCTACAATGCACCAAGTAATTTTCTGGAAGTGAACAGAACATAGGCAAAATCAGAAAATTCCTAGCCCTATTGGATTCTCAAGGCAAGAAAGTGATTAATTTATTTTTATTTTATTTTTTTGTGTGGTGCTGAGTATCAAACCTAGTGCTTCATGCATGTTAGGCAAGAGTTCTACCATTGAGTCACATCCTCAGCCCTGAACTAACATTTTTAATTCAAAGTGAAGACCAAAGTTAATGTTCTCTCTTTTGGTTTAATTTGTTACTTGATTACAAAATTCACAAACTTGTGTATATATCCAAGTCACACTCAGTTTATGGATATTATTTCATTTGTAGACATGTTTTCTACATAAAACAGACTACAGCTAAACTGTCCCTAGTAGCTCTGCCTGACCAGCTTCATTAACTGGTTGATGCTTCATGTAGGTAGGTTTAGCCTTGACAAAACCTATGTTCCCTCCAAGTTCAGGGTAGGGAAAGATTCTCTTTACTCGTGTCTGATTTCAAACCAGTCAGAAATGTGTGTAGGAAAAACAAGATGCTTATTATGTAAAGTCTTAAGAAACCATTAAGATCTTTGAATTTGTTTACTCTGTACCCTCACTAAAAACGTTTCAATGTTTAAGGATTTCTGGCAGTACTGGATTTGCTTTTCTCTTAAGTCAGAGTTAAAACTGATCTGATTATCTTTACTAATATTATATAGATGAAACTTTCTGGTAGTTCTGACAGTTCTGTTGAAATATTCTTCTGTCAAGAAAAAAGAAGGCCTTTTTACACAGAACTGTGAGGTTTGATGACTTTGAAAGTTTTTACTATCCCACCCACCACTTCCCTGATCAGCCTGCCTGGGTTACATGAGTTACCTAACTTATTAAAGGTTTGGCAGTAATTACTCTGTCCCCTCCCACCTCCAGATTTTCCCCTCATCAAAATCTAAATGAATGCTAAAGTTCATGCTGACAGTCATTGTTCACCTTCCCAGCTGCACTCTGTTCCTGCAGGATGACTGTGTGGATCAGGGTCAGGGCCATGGGTTGCCATAGCCACTGTGAGATACACTGGACCTGGCATTAGCTGCTGACAGCACTGAACTTATCACCCATTTTTAATGCTGGCGTGAAGGAAGGGGCACTAAGTAAACTCTCTTGTCTTGTGGCTGCAAAGAAAGCTGCTGAGCTCTCGTATGAAAGTGTACCTTTGAGCCTGAGTGCAGTGTCCTGTTTATGGTGCTCTTCCCACTTTTGGCAAGGAAATGGAGGATCTTCTTGACACCAAATGGGCCAAGTACTTCCAACATTGATTTGAAGAAAGTATTTTTGTAATATGAAAAAGTATGTAAAAATGATTAGTGATAGCTACCATTTATTGTTTCTACTGAAGGTAATGTTAATAGCTTTTAGTTGTGAAAATAATTTGTCTCGGGCTGGGGATATAGCTCAGTTGGTAGAGTGCTTGCCTCACATGCACAAGGCTCTGGGTTCTATCCTCTGCACAAAAAAAATAGTAATTTGCCTCATAGAGACATATATTGACTGTGATAATCCCATAAAAGGGGGATAAGAAAACTGCATTCTTGAAATGACTTTGGAAACCCTGGCCACCTCTCTTCTAATATCTCCTGTATTTGGGAATGAAACAAGAAAAACCCTTCACATGTTCTCTCCCCCTGCTTTATGATGCCTTACCTGAATTGAGATGCAGAGCAGGAGGGGCTCTGGAAAGTCTTGTAGGATGATGTACTTTTCCTTCCAGAGAACAACCTGAAATCAACCATCAACAATCATCTATCTTTGACCAACAGCAGTGTGGCCTGACCAAATTATGAATTCCTTATTGAGGAAAGGGCTTGAGCTACCAAGATACAGTAGGTATGGTATGGAAGTGCAGATTGTTCCTTAATTGAAATGTTTGGGAGCAGCAGCTTTACAGATTTAGGGGCAATTGCATAGACTTTACTGGATGGGCATTCCTAATCTCCGATCCCAAGTCTGAAATTTGGGGCTGCTCAATCTGTATCATGTAGGTTCAGAGCCAAAACCTGAGATTTTGTTGCAAGAACTACACAAGATCTTTCTAAAGGTGCTTGGCTTTTCTGGTGGGGAGTTAGCCAGAACTGTTTTCTGCTAAGTTTATTTGGATGAGCTCTTTCCAGAACTAAAAATGCTTCTGTTTACAGCAATTTATCTGCTGAACAAGTATTCACTATAGTGGATGGGTCTCAGGCATTCCATAGATGAGCAACCCTATACTACCTTAACATAGGAAAGGTCAAGGCAAGGCAGACAAGGTATGAGTCTAGAGTTGTCCCAGTGGGTAACATAAGTTGGGGAATACTTGAGCAGAGCTCTGGAGAGGTTCAAAGGATGAGACTGTCAAGCAGGGAGCCTAGTGAAGACTCTTGGGAGGCTCTCTGAGCTGTGATGCTAGCTAGAATGCCTCATGAGACCAAGTATGACCCAGAATTGCTGGGAGGCAATAAATGGGGTGCTAAAATTTTATGCTCAGAAGTAGAATAAGGAAGCTTTCTGAATGGTGGTGTGCCCAGTGTAATTAAATCCTATTTCAGATTCTGCCATGGCACTCTGAGGATGGCACTCAGATGGTATACTACATAGCCCAGAAGGACATTTACCATAGATCTGCTTGAGCACTGAGTGCCTGGTAGACTTGGTGCCTGAGATGCCCTTGGATGGGCTCTTGGGAACCCTGATGACTGCCACAGTCTTTGGGAGCTTTACTTCCAGTTCTCTTCTCCAAACCTGGAGGAGCAATGATGTGCACTCACGGCTCCATTTGTGCCCATCTCCAGCTCCAGGCTGCTTCCTGTGCAGCAGGTGGGACAGGTGCTTTCTGAGTCGGTAGCTGGTGGGGCCAGAGGAGAGGAGAGGCTTAAGGTCACAGTATAAAGAAGAGCAAACTTCTTTCAGGTTCCTAGAAGCTTTAGGTACAGTACTTGTGAAACTCCTGATTTCAAAGGTGGCATATTGAATTTGAGTTCTATCTCTTCCCATCATGAAATACTAATTGAACTAGGATTCATCAGAGGAGTCTTTGCCCTCAGGGAGAAACACTATGCAAAAACTAGGAGCTGGGCACATGGGGACAGATGTGATGGTTTGGTAGGCTTCCCAGGCTGCCGTGCACCGTGCTTGTGTAGGAGCTTCCCAGGCAGAGGAGGGCACTCTGAGCAGCAGAATCAGCATAGACGGACGTGAGGCTGGCTGCATTGTGGAAGGAGCCAGCATCTGTTGAAGGCCTGCTGCATTCCAGGCACCCTCCCTGTGATTTAAGGGGCTGTGAGGCAGACCTTCCAAGGTTCAGAAAAGCAGAGTAACTTACAGAAGGTGACACGGCTAGAGCCAGCAGAAACCAACATTCTGAATCAGTACTATCTGGCCCAACTGCCAAACACTGCTAAGGACTTTGTCTGATTTCCATACATAATGGAGGGACTCACAAAGGGTTAAAGAAGAGTGGCAGCCAGGTGCAATGGTACATGCCTATAAAGCCAGTGATTTGGGAAGCTAGGGCAGGAGAATAAGTTTAAGCCCAACCTGGGCAACTTAGGGAGACCCTGTCTCCAAACATAAAAAAGCTGGGAACATAGCTCAGCGGTAAAGTGCCCCTGGGTTCAATCTGCAGTACCAAAGGGGGGGGAAAAAGTGGCAAAGGTAAAAGCTGCTTTTTTACTAAGAACATTCCACTGGGAGTGGAGCTTGGAGTGGGGAAAGATGGGCAGAGGAATGATGGCAGTATTTACATCTAGTCTTTACTTGATGGTTTTTATCCCACGTGTACCCAAACTTACTGACAAGCGCAACTGTTTGGAACCCTGTGAGGGAGAGCTGCATCTGTGTACTGCATCGACTACTCCCAGTGAGCCTAGAGGAGCAGCAGGCCCATGCATGATGCTAGGACACACCACACGGGAGAGAGTCTTCCCAAGTCTGCTAAATATTTGCAGTGCTTGGTGCAGCCCTGCCTCCTTTACCAAAGGCTGATTTCGGCAACCAACATGGTTCTTCTTTTCTTTTCCTGGAGAGTGACAAATCATTGTATCCCTCAACTAGAATATGTCCCACCTTTCTAAATGGCCAGTATTAGAGAACTAGAGAGATGGGGCACTGCTGTTCCATAATGGTTTCTTACATTGGAGGTGTTGGGTGTCTCCCCACTCTCTGTGCTTTGGGGAGGCCCAGGTACTGGTTGAGACTGTGGGGAGCTTCAGCTTTTAGTGGACACAGCTCCTCCGATCAGCACTGGTATGGAGACTGGATTGGCATCCAGGAAACTCTTAAGGTTCTTGGGGCAGAGGAACAGGCCTCATTCTCCCTCTTTCAGGAGAACAGATGCCCCTGGACTGTGGGAAATTCAAACATGCCCCATAGTCCATGGGGTCAGGGCTCTTCCTGCTGTCCAGTCTATCCTTGCTTCTTTATCTCAGAATATACTGGAGAGAGCGGACAGAAAGGGGCTTCCACATATTAGGTGATGTTTTAAACAGCAGCTTTCCAGCTTAGCCTGTCCAGTACCTTAGTTTTTATAATAGTCAAGTCTTAATTGGTAATAAAACTTCACACTTAATTTTCAGACTAGGTTTCATTTTCTTGAGGTCCAAGGTCAATCTGCTCACCCATTGATGCCTATTTTCCAGCTCACTTTCTCCGTCCTTTTCATGTCTCCTATAAAGACAATCCATTCATTGAACATTAAGTGCCACGACCTATCCCCTATGCTGTCCCTCACCATTCCTTGTTTTGGTGTCAGACACACAGTTCCAGGACAGCACTTTGGGGTCCTATAGTTAAAATGGAAAATATAGTTAAAATATAATAGAATCAACAAAAGTGTTTTCACCCTCCAGATGTGGTACTCCACAACATGTGGCATCCCAGAGGCCCTTTGGGAGTTGATGTTTCTGAGAATTGCACAATGGTGCAGCCGGAGGGGGCTTGGGTAATTGCCCTTCCAGATGGGCGCACCAGACTATGAGCCCACTGTTTCTGTGAGGAATGACTGAAGGCTCATTTGCTAGTCTGGATACTTACTGACAGGACCTGTCAACTCCTGACTCTTCAAAGAAGTCAAAGAACAGTCTGGGAGGGAGACATTTCAACTAGGGAGCAGCTGTGGGGCCTGGGGAGGCAAACCTTGCCAGCTTGTTTAGATCCCAGGTGTCAGCCAAAATAATTAACAAAAAGTCCCTCCTGATGGTAGTGCATGTCCTAGTGTAGCTTCCCAAGGAGGGAAGCAATGGACATTCCCTTCTGCAGCTTCAGAGGGAGACTCGACCCAAAGTCAGCATTGGCACCTACTAGCTCTATAGTGTTAAGCTGATTAACCTTTGTGCTTCAGTTTCCTCATCTGTGGAATGGGGACAAAAATTGTAACTACCTCAGAGGGTTAATTGTGAGGATAGAATTAATATCTATAAAACTACTTTGAACAGTACTTGCACAAGTGCCCAATAAATGTTAAATGACTTCTAGTATTAACAATGACAGATATAACAGCATCACCCCACGCTTGGGACTGAACCCTCGGTGTGTGTGAGCACTTCCAGGCAGCCCTTTTCTAGCCTGCTCTCAGGTGAGGAGCAGGAGGCTAGCCTCCACTGCCACCATCTTGACCACAGCAAGAACTCACTTTAATGTCAGGGGAAGGCCCTCCAGTGTGAGTCAAACGGAGATTCAAATGCTGGATCTGCACCACAAACACAGCTCATTTTTCCTGAATGGTTTGCTTTTCTAAAATACAGAAACCCCCATGTCTGTCATGATGGCCTTCTGGTGTGGCTAGGAGCTCCCATGTGCTTAAACAGACATGAGTACACATTATTCCAAGCTAGACCAGATCGGCCAGCTCTGGGTCAGGCATTCTTTGGCGTGATATTCCCATTGCATCTCCTGGGACCTCCCACAAATCCATCTTGCTCTCTTCTTTCTCAGCCAATAGTAGTGTTCTCTGGGCCTCTTCTTTCTTTTTCTCTGGGCGTGGGCCTGGAGACTTGGCACACTGGACTTGTAGAGATTCACTTGCTTTACCACACCATCAATCTTCCTCTCCTCAGAGATGGAGGACATGTAACTCCCACCAGTCAGCGATGGACCAGACCTTCCCTGGTCACTGTCATCACTGTAAGGCCTAATATGGACTGAGGCCCAGAGGGGGCCTACAGTGTGAAGGAGATTATGAGACAAGTGGAAACTTGTAGCATACGACCTTTGTGGTCCTCTGGAGAGGTGTCTGTCTCTATCATACTGGGACACTGCTCCAGCCCCTTAGGATAGCCTCCATCCCAACTCCTAGCATCTAACCTGTACTGAGCTTGCAGATGCTCAAACACGTTTACATAATAAATTTCAGACACTTCACTATATCCAAACCTTGGTTTAGGTATTTGGACTAATTTAAAAAAAAAATAAAATATGTGTGTAGTGCTAAATGCTTTAGAATTCACAAAGCACACATTATTTCATTCCAGTGACCTACCATATAAACAGGATAGGTGCAGCAACTGTTAAATCCTATTTTACTGATGAGGAAACTGAGGATCAGGGAGGCCAAGTAGTATGTAAATTACTAGGATATACATGTGTGAATTTCATGTCCAGCTCCATAAAATTTGCCTTACGATGCCCTCACATGGAATTAACTGAAAAATATCAAAGCACAGGAAGAACCAAAGAGGTGGCAGCCCTTCACACTCCTACCTTCGCCAGGCGCGCTGGATGATGGCGGCTGCCTTGTTCTTTTTGCGAAACAGCTCTTTCCTAGTCCTTTCTCTGTGGATTATCTGCAGTCGGAGCTCTACAGGGAGAAGGTCAATATTCACACTCTGCCCAGAGAGGGGTCCAGATGCTGGATCAATGTCCTTAGATACCTGAGCATCCTCAGACAGGGTAGATGTCCCCAGTTTCCTGGCTCCTGACCTCATCTCCTCTGTGCTCTGTGGCAAATCTGAATAGACCCCTCCTGGGAGCTTGTCCTGTGTCACTCTGTTTCTTGGTGTGCGATGGTGGAGAGGATTCTGCCCAGCATGAACAACCTCCCCCTTGGCACTGCCAGGCCGGCTGGAACCAGCCGGGGAGCACCTTCCTCTGAGCTCTTGAAGGCGCCTTTTCTGGGGGGGATTTCTGGCCTTGGGGACTGCATCATGCCGCCTGCCCGGCTTCCGGTGGCTGTCCTGCTGCGGAAGGTCCTCTCCTTTCTCATCAGGCCCGGCCACCCTGATACAGGAGGGCTGCTTCAGTGTGCCTTTGCCCCTTTCACACCGATGCTCACCAGCCGTCTCGCCTCTGGTCTTCTCAAGCGAGGAGACTCCCAGATGCCTGTGTCCCTCACTGTCTTCACTGGGTCTGTTGTGGACACAGGCAGAGTGGCCTTTAGAATGTTGTTCCCTGGATGTTTCTTGGAGAGACAAAAAGGGGAAGAATATTTTTTGTCTAAAATTTACATAATAGGGCAATTCTAGTTTGCCATGGGAATTTGAAACCAAAGTTTCTATGCCCAATGTGGATTTGGTATTTGTTCTTTTTTTATTTTTTTTACTGTTCAGATGGTTTAACAATTCCAAACACAGTGATTCCCATAAATTTTAAATGGAATTTATAAAAAGTTTTGTATTCTATTACTTCTCCTTTTAAACACATCCGACACTTCTAAATATCTCCAATGACTAGATATTTCACACAAGAACCTGTCCACTGTGCACACAGCACTGGTAAATAAAACTGCACATGTAGCAATGGTTATACTAGGAAGTATCTTTTAATATGGCCATTTTGTCCTTGAACCTTTTCCTCTTCACTTCTTTTACTTTCAGTCCAGTGGACAAGTACAGACATATGCATGATATTTATTTATTCTTCATCCATAGGAGATAATATATAAAATCTGGTCTCAGGATATGATATTCCAGGATGCCTCATAACAGCAAAGACAATATTGGTTTAGTGTGACATGTTCTCAACAGGATGCACAAAAGGGTCCTCTGAAAATGGCTTCATGGTCTGAAACTGTAATGTGCACAGGGCACAAGCTACCATGAGCAAAACGGAATGAACATATAGCAAGATCGATCTCCCAGGATTTAGTGTACAAACACCAATTGATTAAACACACAAAAGAAATTAAAAATATTAGAAAAGAATAAATATATTTGAAAAAGAACTAAGCATAAAATGTAAAATAAAAAACAATTTCAAAGTAAAAAAGCAGTGAGGGAACTTCTGCTTCTGTAATGGCAGAAGGGAGACGTGCTCTCCAATGAAGACAACAGAAATATTGTATAGAATGTAACCAACAATCCATAGGAAGGGACTGTGGAGCTAACAAGGCAGAAAAAATGAAGGACCAAGATTCAGAAGATCTCAGCAACCTGGACTGTTGAGCAAGGCATTTGGGGGTACATATCTCAAGGTCTGGGGGACAAAACATGCAGACCAGAACCTGCTAACTTCGCTCTTTTGGATTGGGACTCAAGAGGGCTGTGCCATAGAAGCAAAGGTGATCCTTGCAGGACTGAAGCCAGCTTCGCATCATCTCCATTCTGGGAACTGGATTGGGGTGACTGGAGACTGCTAGTGCTCCTACCTTCCAGAAGCCAATGTGAGGAAATTAATATCATCCAAGGCATCAAATTATTTCTATGGTTTTTTTATATTTAATGTTTGACACTCAATGAAAAATATATGGGCTCATGAGAAGACAAGACAACAGAGAAAAGGAGAGGGGGAGAATGAGAATGAATAATAAAACAGGCTATCCAATTAATATGTTCAGAAACAGACTTCAAAATAACTATTCTTAAGTGCAAAACAACAAACTATGCTACTCTTCATGTAAGAAAGAAATGAAGGTAAGAAATACTCATGTGTGCTTACTTGTGCAAAAGAAATATAGATAGCATAAACCAGCAATGAACGAGACTGGTTTCCTATGTGGGTAGTGTGGGAAAGGGGTGGAAAGTAATTAAAACAAGATACCATCATGCACTTAGTAGAATGGAGAAAACCCAAAATACTGACAATAGCAAATGCTAATACTGGAATGCTGCAATTCCAAATGCTGGAATGTGGAGCCGCAGGAACTTCATTTATTACTGATTGAAGTGAAAAATTATTCAGCCACTTTGAAAGAGAGTTTGGGAGTTTCCTGCAAAGCTAACACACTCTCATCACAAGATCTAGCAATTATATTCCTTAGTCTTTACTCAAAAGAGTTAAAAACTTTTGTCCACACAATCTTCACAGGGATGTTTAGAGGAGCTTTAATACCTAATGGCCCAAATTTTGTGGCAGCCAAGATGTTTTTCAAAAAATGTATGGATAAATTTACCGTGGCACCTCCAGACAATGGAATATTACACAACAGTAAAAAAAGAAATGAGCTGTCAAGTTATGAAAAGACATGGAGGAACATTAAATACACATTACTAAACAAAAGAAGGCGATCTGAAAATATCACATGCTGTATGATTCAAACAATCTGATGATCTGTAAAAGGAAAAATTTTGGACCCAATGAAAAAGATCAATTGTCAGGGGTTAGGGGAGAGAGGGAGTAACGAGTACGTGGAACATAGAGACCTTTCTGCATAGTGAAATTACTATGTAAAATACTGTAAGGGCAGATCCATGCCTTATATACTTGCTTTATCTTAGGTTGAGATGTGTCTGAGATGCCCAAGTGAGGACATAAGTTAAATAACTGAATATGCATGACTGGAACAGAGAGATCAGGAAATCTTCAGTGCAAAAGTGGTAAGTGAATTTGCTGCCTCAGCCACTGTACATGTACCAAGCATAAGGACCCACTTTACTCACACCAGTCACACCCACCGGTTCTGACTGTCCATATGGTTCAGAATAAGAAAACACAAGGACTGGCACAGTGAGTTTTTCCTCAGACTCTCCTGAAAAGCACAGTGACTCAAAAGCAACTTTATCTCACCACCTCCCACAAGCAATCTGCTACCAAGTCACCTCAATTCTACTCTTCAGACCATCCTTGACTCTCACTGTGCTGCTGCTGTGTTAGTGCAGACCATGCCTGGGCCCTCCAATACTCCCCCTCAGCCAGTGATCTTCCTAAACATGACACCAGATACCTCCCCACATCATGGGTTGTGCCTTGTTTTGATTAGGCTGTGCCCTGGATGCTCTGCAAAGACTGTCCACTCTAACATTCTCTGTCTGTGAGACTGGATGGAGGAGAAAAATAAGTGGTAGTTGCTTCCTGTGTCTGGATTCTTGCTGGGATAGCCACCGTCAAGGTATATACTCCTGATCCCTGGTCAGTTAAACAGATACACCCCTTCCTATGGGGTCAAATACAATGTGAGTTGGAATGTCCTTTGTCCACTGATTTTGGGGTTTTTCTGGAATACCATGCTAGAGAGGCTGCAGTCAATGTCAGACTTGATTCCTAGAAGCACCTTCCTATTTTCCTTTGCACTGTGGGCTTTTAGGCAGGTGGTGAGGATAAAGGCTGTCCATGGGACTGGAGCTTCTGTTCCTTAGATTCAAATTGGTCTCATTAACCTCCCATCCTTCATCTGTTCCTCAATGTCTGGATTCCTGGCTGTTTTGAGACCTTTTTGCATATTTGAGTCTATTTCTTTGTTAAAGTCCATTATTCAGGGTGCCACTTCCTGCCCCTAAATGAGTGAGAAGCTCCCCTGCCTCAGAGTTGTTCTAAAACAGAAACTTTCAAAATGTTTGAAAATGATCTATATCATGAAATAAATCTTTGAGTCTCAATGTGCTTAAATATATGCACACACGCGTGTGTGCACACACACACACACAAACTCACACATATATGCACTGTACTTTGATATTTTCTACCAGCAGAATAGAAATACTTTAAATCCATTAAATTCATTTCACGAGCTATCCATGGCTTGAAAGTCTCTGTAAACGAATCCAGCAGATCACCTTGAGGAAGTTGAGTATCCGTGAAAAAGACAAAAGCAATGGCCATTAGAAATTGAAACAGCATGTTTTTTTCAGGATGTGGGACACACTATTAGAGTGTCCTCGGGTCCAGAGTAGATCTGATTGGCCTTGCAGTGTAACTATCTCAAAGTGTTTATAATAAGGATAATAGGAATCACCAGTACCCTGTGTTACTGTAAAGAAGCCTGAGACCATCCCCGCCTCCCAATCTGCACAGCGTAGGACTAGGAAGTGCAGCACTGTCTGTTTGAAGTTACAGGGATTAAGTGTGATCCTTGGGGTGGAGGGAAACTCCAGGTAACCAATGTTGTGCTCACTGCGGTAGGAAAGACGCTCATGGCAAGGTCTTTAACCTTAATTGATAGTTTAGTAGAGCTGACACATAGTGTGGCCTCTAAAACATATCTATTTGATGAATATACACATAAGTAATTTAGAGTTTGAGTAGAAGCAAATCTTAGTTATAAAAATAGAATTCTGAAAAGAATAGATTAAAAAAGCATGACTAGATCTTATAAATACTTTTTGTCTTATGTTTTAACGACCTTTCTTCTCTGAATCTTCAGTACCTACTTAGTATCATTCAACTATAAATTCAACAAATATTTATTTCTCATGTGCTAGACACCCTTCAAGGCGCTAGGGATATAGAAGTAAGAGACATGTTGTGTTGCCTCCTATGACAGATTGCTTAACTTCTCCCCATGCTTATGTGCATGTGCCTTTGTGATAATGTTGGTACATATGCCATCCAGAGGTAAGTCTATTTCTTCATTCCCTTGAACATGGGCTGGTGTTGTGACTTCCTCTGATCAACGGAACGTGGTAGAAATGATGTAAAATTTCTGGAGTCTAGGCCTCAAAAGGCCTTGCAGTTTCTGCCTTCTCTCTGAATGCTGCTCTGAGAACAGTATATAAGGAGGATGCTCTAACCTACTGGAGAGTGAAGGGCCACACAGAGGAGAACTGAGGCACCTCAGCCATTGGCCAGCAGTAACTGCCAAAGGCGGTCATCTTGGACTTCCCAGCTGTCAATTCTGCAGCAGCCGTGAGTGAGCCCAGGTGACCCAGCAGAGGAACTGCTCAGCTGACCCACAGCAAACTGTGGTTCTTTGAGGTTACTTAGTGTTGGGGGTGGGTTTTTATTATGCCACAAAAGATAACCAACACAGAAATTGATACCTTGAAAAAACATGTACTGTCCCAACAAAACTCCCTGACAGTGACTTTGGGATTGTTTGGTGAGCAGAAGCTGGGAAGTTGATGAAGAGACTTGGTGAAGCCGGGAACCAGAATAGAAATTGCTACTGGAGTCTGGGGAGAGGTGAACCTTGTTATCCAGTAGCAGAATAACCAGCAAAACTATCACCTGCAGTTATATAGAAAATAGAAGATATCCTAATGACCTTGCAGATATGGCTCAGGAGACTTCCTACTGGAATGATGAAGAAAATATCAACTATTTTTTAAGTTGCAGATGACAAGAGAAAGAGATAAAGAACAAATTGCTCAGTTTGCAAATAGGTTAGAGAAAATCGGAGGAATCAGGATGTTCCAGGTTAGAAAATAAAAAATAAAACTGTTCAACATTTTGACTTTTTCCAGTCAGCAAAAGAGTCTCATAATGGGATAAGGCCTCAGAGTAAAGACTGCATCAAGAGTGTGGCTATGCAAGCCTTTATTAAGACCTCAAAAATATTTAAGGTGGTGCATAGTAGGCCTTCTGAGCTAGACAAAAAAATTTTTAAGAATTTCCAGGGTGTTTTCCCACAGAAATCTGAGCCACTCAAATTAGAAGTTTGTTTGAAAAATAATTATGGATATCATTTTTTGGAACATGGAAACTTAAAGTTTTTGAGATAATAGTGTCACTGAGATAAGCACCAGCTTGAAATGGTGACACAGACAAAAAGAAGCCTCCTCTGGGACCCAGATTTCCTAGAATGACTTGTCCAAACCCTAAATTAAGTAATCATGAAATCCCAGAGACAATAGTTTTTGCCACAAGGCGAAAACTATTTTCACAGTAACACTAAAACATTATTTGCCCTTTTCACTATGTTGGCATTTGTAGTTAGATTTCTGGAGGTTTCCCATCATGCTCTAATTTATGAGTGGCTCAATGTGCTTAAAATCCTGGAGTTCTAGGTTCAGATGAACTTTTCTGGAGACCCTCTGCTATCTCCTGGTCCAGGGTCTGGGCTGTATGGCTGGCAGGAGACTATTGCTGGGAGGCCCCTTTGCCTGCTGGGCTCATTCTGAGGGCTGGGCTGACAGGGTAGACAAAAATCTGGTTAACAGTTTATTGCTGAAGGAGTTAAGTGTACCATGTGGGACTCCACTGGAGGAGAATTCTTGTAAGCTTGTGTCTAGTTTCCTCCAAGCAATGATACTTTATGATTGACATAACAAGTATGACATCATCAGATCCCCAAGCAATGATACTTAAAAGTGGGGAAAGTAAAGCTACCTAAATGGAAGTGAGATTTCCCCATTTTGCTTAGAGGAAAATGTTGACGTACAAGTCACATATGTACCTTGTAATACACAGAGTTACCACTATGAGAACTGTGGAAAAGGAAAACACTCAACAACATTATAAGCCAAATAAAATGGAATCCTAAAAAATGTTCTAGAAACCCACAGGGAGGGAAGAAAAGAGAAACAGAGGACTGAGAACCATAGGAAACAAACAGAAAAACAAATCATAAAAATGGCAGACTTAAGTGGTAAAAATTATAATAAATGTAAATGGTTTAAATATGCCAATCAAAAGAGCCCATGATCCATAGGTTGGCATTAGATAACAGTCTATACACGTACCGTTTGGCTTTCTGGAGTCTGTTTCCTGAAGGTCTGAGGAAACATGCGGCTCCTTCTGAGAGGCTTTGCCCGGAGTCCCACCTGGAGACCCTCCGCTGTCTCTCAGCTCAGGGCCTTGGGCTATGTGGCTGGCAGGAGGCTGTTTGCTGGGGGCCCTGCTCTTTCTGCTGGTCTCATTCTGCAGAATGGGGCTGGGCAGACAGGGAAGGGCTTGTGGTCTGCAGGAATCTGGGCTCAGCTGTCCTTTCTGTTGTTCTGCCTCTTTTCGCTTGTTTTCTTCCTCCCGCTTTCTGGAAGAAAAGTCAAAGAGGAAGAAGAAAAGTTTAAAAGACTATATCATCTACTGAGTGGTCCCTACATGGGACTGAAATTTTAAGAGGAGCTCTCACAGCATAGGTTTGGAAATTCACATTTTCCAGGAGCAGTCTTCACCTACAATAAAACCCCTCTCTTTTTACACCATACCTTATAACTCAGAGGGTGACTATACCAGACCTCATAACTCAAAGGGTGACATAGTCCAAAAGAATCCTGCAGATTAATTTTGCACTGTTAAGACAGAAAGCAAATGATCAGCAACTATTTTACTGTGTGAGACAATACATCACCAAGGGTATGTGTGTCTCACAGGTGTGTGTGTGTGTGTGTGTGTGTGTGTGAGAGAGAGGGGGGGGTATCTTGGAGCTACCTGAAACTCTACCCCTTTTCCTACTGTTCCAGAAAGCACAGTAGAATGCAGCTGAATGACAGGGATAGCCTCAAATCTGTTCTACTTACTGAAAAAAGACCCTTGACAAATCTTAATGAATGTATGAAAAAATTCACTTGCAAAGCATCTCCCAAATGATTAAAACACACCGTAGTGTGCAGTACTACTACTGAGATCTAGCTAAGGACTCAAACCCACTCCCTTTGCAGATGAGACTCAGAAGTTGGGATAACTTTCAAAAGACATAAACAAGTAGCTGATGGATAAGCTGCAACCCTTGAGTAGCAACAACTAGAAGAGGACTGGGCAGGAGAGGCCAGGTCTCAAAATAAGTAGCAGGGTGAGGCAAAGGGATTCCAGAAAGGGCCACAGCTTTAGGACAAAAGGGTTGAGCTAAGGGCAGGATTTGTTTGACCAATGTCACTAATTTGTAGGAATGGTCAAAGGAAAGATAGCAAGAAATAAACATAGTTATTTTATGAGTCTTGTCTCTACTGGGAACTGAAGATACAGAACAAGGATTAAGAAGTTGAAGTTCTCCCTAGAAGAACATTCTATCCAGAATTTCCATCCAGGAAATCAGAGGCCTAACCTGTTATGGAAGAAATGTTATAGCAGTGTGCCTGCACAGGAGAGGTGGTGATACATTTTATCTGGAGGAATCAAGAAGTTCTCAAAGATATTTGGAAATCTAAAAGGCAGAGAGGATTTCAGCTGAAGGAGGAGTTTGGTCAGACAGGAAGCATGGAAAAACCTGCTTGGTTTTGCTGCTTTAGATCTTTGATTAGTGCTTTTGACATATAGCTGGCATTCAATATATATCTGCTTCCCAGCTTAGTCACAGTTAGAGCTCAGGGAGAGTTGACGATTGCCTCTTGAAGGTTCCATTTAGTGTGGAATGATTGGGGTATGGTAGAAAACTCTGGGCTGGGAAGTTTTCTAGTTTTGCTTCTGCAGGTAACTACTAAATGACCTGGAATGAAACACTCTCCTGCTAGGTCCAGCACCTGTAGGATAGCTCAGAATCCTGTTTTGATTTAGAGGTTTGTTTGGGGGCAGCTGTCTTTACAAAATTTGGGATTTTAAAAAATGAGATGGAGAGTTGTTTTATCATCATGGCTGGCTAGTATCAGAGCCCCTCTTAAGTGACCCTGTTGAGACAAATATACTAATAAGCCCGGAGACAAGACTGATGGCTGGTAGAAGGGAAAACTTTTAAGGCCTAGGTGGTGATCAGCTCTGAAGCGCTAGAGAAAAGGGCTGCTCTTCATGAGACAAAGGTTGGTAGCTCCTGACAGGGAGGGAGGAGTGGGAAGAACAGAGGACCAGGAAGGTGCGGGGAGAAGGAGAATATGAGAGAACTGCAGAGGCAGGGCCAGGGCAGAGGAGGAAGCCTCCCATGGTGGGGTGACCTTGGGTCTTTGCTTCCCACATTCTAATGGACTGAATCACCTGGGATCTTGTTAACATTTTGATGTAGACACTGGGGAAGGACTCAATATTCTACATTTCCCACATGCACCCAGGGGACAGATGTTTCTGGTCCTCTGACCATGCCTTGAGCAGCAAGGCTTTAGAGAACAGGAGGGCCTAATATGAACTATTAACTGTACAGTGAGGGATAAGAAATGTGAATCTCCCCAGAGACACTGACTTTTTGTAAGGTCTACCATGTTCAGCCGTGCTTTCCTATGAGCAACCTGACAAGCTACAGAGCCAAGACACCAGCCATGGAAGCAAGAACTCCCAAGCAGGTATAGAATCCAGACTTCTCCAGTTTGTGGAATTTGAAGCAAAGCCCATTTAGATCTCAAGGGACTGGGAAGACCCAGGTGACAGATATCTGGTTAAACTTTTTCAATTTGTTAAATTCCCCTTCTGAATGTCTTTCTTCCTATATGGAGAAGCCCCTGACCTGGGGTCCAGGTCTATTTATCTGATTGTCTTCTGGAGAGTCTCACTGCAGAGAACTCGGCCAGATGGGCCTGGCTAACTCCTGCACAGCTCCGATGTTTTCATTTAACCCTGGTTTTGTTAGATCTCGGACAGCTGCTGACATTGAGAGTGCTGCACTGTGGTCACCATGCTAACTGGACAGCCTGTCATCATCAGTGCCAGGGATCATATGGATGCCAGCAGGGGCCACTAAATATGATCTGTCTGGAGAAGGTGGAAGCCCACGGTGGCTGGAGTGCTGCCAACTGACCAGACAGCTCCCTCCTGGCAGGAAGAGGGAGCAGCGCTCTTCACACAGCACAAGGACTAGAGCTGCCTTGAGAGAATGATGTTGGCCCTTTGACAGATGCAATGTCTGCTGTCCGGGTTGGCGTCTACATGGATCTCAATGATATCGAGGGAGGCTCCAAGGTGAAAAGTTATGCTCTGCTATATGAGCAGTCATTTCTTTTAGGAAATCAAACAGCTTTCCTTCTTAATTCCAAGAAGTTGGTTCCTGGGCAAAAACTTTTACTGCAGCACTTTCTGGGCCTCTGACAAAAGCAGCCACGTTAAAAAAAAAAAGGATGTGGTTTTTAGAGTAATGAGGATATCCAGAAAACTAATGGGCTGTGCCTTCCAGAGGCTTCTTTGGAGGAGGAGGTTAACAGGGGAGGGATTTTCCATTTCAGAGAACTAAATAAGCAGAATTAGGAGAAATAAGATAATCATCAAGATATATAATTAGGCCTTCTGTTCATAAATCTATTAAATGTATCTTTTAAAAAAAATTGATGACATGTTTAGCATTAAAGAAAACCTTCCAGATAGCACAAATAACAATCTCAATTGTCAGGATTGAATACTTGCTCTTCTCAATATTGTCTGAATCCAGCAGGGGTGAGACTTGTAAGCTGCTTTTGTCTAAGAGGTTCAGAAAATCATGGTTTGTGTTCATGTATATTATAGGCATGAGCCTCTAAGGACAGTTCCTGTCATAAACCTGTCAAATGGTAATTTGCTCATGATCAGTATGCAGGGACTTGGAAATATAAATACACAAATGTATAAATTCTAGAGTACTTTGTGAGGATATGGGTGACTAAATGTGTTTGCTGCCCTAGGTAGGGCTAGTAAGTGGTATACTTATAGAGATTCACAGTATTCAAACAAAAAGAGAGTGTCCCGTCCAGTCCTTCCACTTGACAGATGGGGGCACTAAGGCCTAGTGTGATGAATGACTTATGTCAGGTCTTAGACCCATTATAGGGGCAGTTACTGAACATTTACTTACTATCTACCAAATACTCCAAAACACTGGAGACCCAGACTTACGACAAACAGTCCCTGCTCTAAGGAACTGACTATGAAGTGGGGGAACCAGATCTCTACACTTCTGCAGATAGAGAGATCGAGGTGTGATGAGTGCTAAAATAGAGGTATCTTCACAGAGCTCTAGGAAGATGTGGGAGAAAGTTGCTAATTAAACTGAGAGAGAAGAGGCTCTAAATTAAGGATGTCAAAATGAGGGAGGAATGAAGTGAGAGAAGGCTATTCCAGGCAGAGGGAAGAGCATGAGCAAAGATCTGCCACTTGGCTCTCACTGAAGCTTTGACTCAGAAGAGATCTCGGAGACCAGTTGTTCATGTAATGTAAAAATTTCTTATATAACATCCTGTAGAGATGATAATTCATGTCCTGCTGGAACATTTCCAGTGAGAGAAAGCTGATGACCTCATGAGACAGAAAAGGTTTAGCTGTAACCTTTTCAGTTGCTGTTGCATGGTATCTAAGGGTCTGTCAGAGACTCTCTCTTCATTGTCAATGAATATCAGACATAGTAATATTTGGTCTTTAACTTCCTCCCAAGGGAATAAGAAAATGGTGTGTGTCTCAGGACCTCTGACTCATAGAATGTTAGTGCTGGAAGGGACCTCAAAGATCACTTAGTCCAGTGGCTTTTATCTTTTTTGTGACTTGTGGACATCTTTTGAGACTGAGATTAAAAAAAAACAACAACAACAACTATAAATCCTCACCACCAAAATGAATATATGCTCCTGATATACAAAATACTGGATATAGTCCTAAGGGCATCCATGGAGCCCTGAGCCCATTCCAGATAAGAAAGCTCTTATTTATTTTACTGAAAAGTGAGGATCTGAAGTAGGGTGGCATGAAGTAGAACCATGGAAATAATTCCCTGTGGATCAGATGGCTTTCTGGGCACAGGAATCAGACACGATGATCAACCCTAAAGAGAGGTGTTGACAAACTGGAGATGTTCAGGGAAGCAGGCTGCAAAAGGATCAATTATAAAGTCAAAGGAATTCTTGAGGTAGAGTTGGAGTATTATAAACATTTCCTTTAGCTATCTGAATGTTAGTTTATGGAAAACAATTTAGACATTTCTCTTTGGCTTCAAGATGAAAGGCAGGAAGAATTTCCAGATAAAACACTCTACTAACAAAATGAGGTGTTTTGAGAGGTGCAGATTCCTTGTCACTTGACACAGAGCAACTGAAGAAAGTTCAGGATGACCAAAATCTAAAGTATGAGAGCATGGGAAGGTATGGTAAATGGAGAGAAATGAGACTTGGAGATATAAATGGAAGTAAAATATTGGAGGGTCTTACATAGCACCAT